CCGATTACTCAACTAACCATAGTTAATATTTGAGCATTAATAAATATAATGAAAACAAAAGGTTTTAATAAGTTTTCTTTTAAATTATTAATTTTACATTTTTAAGTAGTTTAAATTATTATTATATTAAAATGAAATTTGAACTTCTAAAATTTTTAATTATTTTTGAATGATAAGAGGTTGTTTTGAATTTTTATTTATTTATTTTTATTAAAAATTCATATATATCATTCTTAGTAGTGTTGTTAAGCAGCTAACCAGGGCCGTAGAGCTAGGAATTTCTTACTGGGAGGATGGCAAATGCTTACTTTGTGGGGCCAATATTTTTTTGAAATAAAACTTATTTATTTCATAAGCCATTCATTAAAATACTAAATTTTGTTTAAGTCAATCTTTCATCGATTCTCTGGTACTCGATAGAACTCTTTTTAGTGTAGAGAATGAGGCCTCACAAGATGCCCTTGATACCGCTATGATGATGGTTGCTGATTAGCATTTATACAATTTTTTAAATGCAAGATGATATTTTTTTATAATATATACAATATTTTTAAAATTATGTGTTTCTTTAACTTCTACAGCTAATAATCCTTTTGCTATTTCTTTTTATGTTGTAACTTTTCACATTTAAATTTAATAATGATTCTAATGTGGCCATTTTATAAAAAATATCAGGGTTAAATGGGGACTATGTATTAAAATAAGATAGAAGATTGTAATTATCTTGTGTAATGTAAATTTACCTAAAAAATAATCTACAATAATTTCATAATAATTCGTTAATAACTACAATTTTAGTCCTTTTCACAATCAAATTGCAATGTGGCATCGCTTAAAAAATCTTAAAGATTTGTTGGCATTTTAGGTACCCTTACGATCTTTGAGGGATGAGATTAAATATTGATATAAGTTTTTCAGCCATAATTCTTATCAAATAAAAAGAATTATCCATAATTCTTATCACATAAAAAGAATTATCCATAATTCTTATCACATAAAAAGAATTATCACTTTTTTTATTTTTTAATATATTAATTGTGGAATTAATACAATTTTTAGAATCCACTCTGAACCTAATGACTGTGGATACTTATTTAGTGAATCCAGGCGCGTACGCAAGAATTTGGTCTGGGGGGGGGGGGGGGGGGGGGGGGGTAATAAAATTTTTAAGAAATATTATTGTTTTTTAAAAATATCAAGCATAAATTTATTAGGCTTAATAACTATTTCTAATACTCAATTTAAATTAATGTGAATTATAAAAAAATTATATGTAAAGAATCACTTAAATGACCCAAAATAGAAATTGGAATTTTTTGAGCCTTTACAGAAAAAGTTTCATAGGAATAATTGCATTTTGTATTTTATACATTTACAATGTAAAATCCAATCTTCGTTGGGATTGAGCTAATTTTTCAATTATCTCATCCTTGCTTGTCGTCAAATGCCTATGAATATTCAAAAGATCCAAATCTTTCAATCTACTTTCAGATGTTGTACTTCTTGGTATGTTTTTCAGAAACCTGCAGGCCTGGCCCCCGGCCGGACAGTATTTTAATTATTTAAATATAGCCGGGCCGGGCCCAAACTTTTTTTTAAAAAAATACCCAAGCCGGACCTGAATTATTTAAAAAAAACACCCAATCCGGACTTTATTTTTAAAAACAGCCTATATTTGAAATCGTTATTATTAGCTATAAAAATCAAAAATAAACATAATTTATTTTTTAACGGGCCAGGCCTGAAAATTTTGTAAAAAAAATCCGGGTCTGGCCTAAAATTTTTTTAAAAAAACCTAGGCCGGGCCGTAAAAAATCTTTAAAAAAAATCCGGGCCGTGCCCTGCAAATGGTACTTCTTTAGGACTCTGTTATTCTTCTTAAAAAAGAGAATGTTCTCTCATTAGTTTACTAATGGGAAGAGTTTATAAACCCTTTTAATACATGGGAATTTAATCTAAAATGTGTTTGAAATAATGCAGAGCATCCATATAATTTTTTGGGACTATATCAACTATAGTTAATTTTATAAACATAGTTATTCAGCTAGTAAGGCATCATAAGATACTTTAACATCTTCATAATAAAAATCTAACAAATATTTTTTTTTCTATCACCATCTGAAAAAAGGTTAGGAAGGCTTTTGTGGAAGTAATATTTGCAGATGTAAGTACTGCATGATGAATTAAAAATTCATTTATTTGGGTTATAAATGTATCTGCATATAAGATATACTTTTCTACTGATCCTATATTAATGTTTTAACGATGAGCTTGCCTTGCTACAAGTCGAGGGAGACAAATATTAAACACGTATAGCTCTGCTTTTGACTCAACGATAAAATATAAAATTTTTCATCAACGCCCTAATTTCCTTGAGTTCTGATAAAATGCTCTCCGCTATTCTCATCTTCTTAATCAAATCAATGTCATGTTTTTGAAAAGTAATACTTAAAATAGTTGTATAATTAAATAATACATTCTAATAAGAAATAAAATTTGGAATAAGCATTGAATCCTTTAATTTTCTTGCTTCTGAGGAAATATTTCTTTCAGGCCATTGTAATATTTCAGTAATAGCAAATAATTGGCTCTTATAACTCCTTAAAAGCTGTTACTGCTTGATGGCAGAGACTCTATCTCGTTGGACTTGCAATTTCTTTTTCCCTGTTGGACAAGAAGTTTCAGAAATAATTATTATTTGACTAGAAATTTGAAAATGGTAGATAAATATTACGCCATGCCGGAAAATTTGATATCGAATTTAATTGATAAAATAACTTAGTAGATATATGTGATAATAAATGTAATTAAATATATATTTAATATGAGATACGAATAAATATTAACAAATATAAATTAATATAAACAATAATATTTTTGAAAAATATCCGGCATCTGCATTTTTTGGCTTGGGGAAAGGGGGGGGGAAATTTGCCCCCTGCCCCCCCCCCGCTGCGTACGCCAATGAGTGAATCTATTGTTAATACTTCATAAATTATAATAAAGGACAGTATTATGCAATTTTTAACTCATTGAGATAAAGGACCAGAGGCTTCGACTGAATCATGAGGGAATATCTCTGAGTTAAATGTTCTATTAGAAGAGTAAAATAATACGCCACCAATAGCCTCACAATTCTCATAAATGATACGAGAAGTTTCTAAATGACAGTTCACCTCTGGTTTAAAAGTATCTAAGAGTTTGGCCAGCATATTTACTGGATACGTTAAAACGCCTAGAAATTAAAAAAAATACAATATTTTATTAATTTTTTTGCAGCAATGCCTTACTTATTACATTCGATTATTAATATTTAATTCATTAATAATGTAAAAAAAATTAATAATGCTTTCGGGCAAAAAAACATAGTAAATTAATGATTCCTATTAGATTTACTTAAATTTCTCCACAAAAAAATATAACGAATAATTATGCTCAGGTTTAACCTGAGGTATCTTTTATCTCATAAGCCTTAAGGCAAAAAAAAAGGCATCTCGCCTTTATTATATTATTCTGAGATATATTCCAGCACATATCTGCCATAGATTTGACTTCATTTTGAATTTGAGGAGATGTATATTGTGCATTTTGGATATTCATTTCATAATTCTATTAAATTCAGGATCTTTTTGGATTGTGTATGAAAATATTGCTATATATAGTCCAGAAGAATAAATTATGTTTTCATCTTTTACATTAACCTTAATTTTTTTGAACTAGCCCCACTAAAGAAATAGCATCGAATCAAATATTGATTTAATATTAATTTGATGCCTTTCCAGAATTTTTGTTATCTCAGTGTTATTTATATTGATTTTTATCATGCTATATTGTTATTGAATTTAAATGAGCTTTTGAATTTTCATTTTATAGCAGTCCCTTCTTTGCAGCTAACGCATTTTTCCAATAGCTGAATCCCGTCCAAATTCATCACTTGGGAATAAGTGAATAGATATTTTGTAACTAATATTTTTATAGATATGTTCTTGTTTATTTGTATAAATTAAATAATATTTGTCAAAAATTTTTATATTTTTCTTTAGATTTAATTATTATTTAAAATTTAATAACTAATAAATTTTTTCAGAAAAAATTTTGGCGGTCATTTTTGGGGCCCTAAAATTTTTTCGAGGGACCAGGTTTAGGGGCCAAAATTTTTTTTAGGCCCAATATATTAGCCAAAAACTATTGTGCAAGCCTGAAAATTTTGTTCATAGATATGGAAGAAAGATTAAGACATTTATCAACAAAATCTCTAATATAATATTATTTTGAGTCGTTTAACTATGCTAACTTTTAGCATTCAGTTAGACATTATTCAGAGGAAGAACAGCAAAACCTTAATTATTTATTCGATTTCCATCAGTAACAAATGGGAAAAACTTTTGCTATAATGGGCTGTTCTTTAAATTCTTATTATCGGACGTTTATATTTCCCATTTTCACTGATTTAAACATAATTTACATCATACATAAATTACATGTTGTAAAGTTTTCATTTTATTAAGGCTTAATCAGAGCCGAGCTGTGCTAAGACTTTTATCGGGCCCGGAATAAAACTGAATTCGGAGGACATATAAAAAAAAAAATTTTTAAAAAATCATAAAATAACTAACTTGATTCATTATTTTTAAAATGGGATTAGATAAAAAAGGAGCTTATAAAATTAGGTAATAATTACAATTCATACTTTTAAAGGCATAAGAAACAAAATTTGCTTGCCTTTTTAATATTTAAAAATTAAGCTGATATTTATTTTAACCCATAAAAGTTCCATCTACTATAGGCGACCCTTATAAAATAGTCTACTATTTTGGCCACCCGGACCTGTCCCACTCGCTCCAGGTTTGCACGGGCCTGGACATAATAAACTCTCACACATATTCGTTTTATAATATATTTCATTCTAGCCTTCCTTCCTATAAGATAATAAAATAAATTATAAAAAGAAAATTAATATCTAACTAAACAAAACATGAATGAAATTATATGATAGATACCTGATATATGTAGTGCGAATATCCTCGAACGTAGAAAATAATATGAAAAAATGTTGAGAATAATTTGGATGGGCAACATCTGACGAGATTTATGGTTAATGGGATTTATCTTGTTGATAGGATAAAAGTATAAATTCCGTTAATGGCATTTGAATAGAATATCATCATCCCAAATTAATTATTTTCATATAAAAAAATACCAGATTTGAACATTAATTATCATTATTTATGTATTTCGTAAAATCATAAAAAATATATCATTTCTTAAATTTTATCAAGAATTGGAAAGTTGAATGAAATAAAAAAAAAATTTCTATTTAATCAAATATATTAAGTATTAACATAGTATAAAAATAATATGTAATGTAATGTAATGTAAAATAAAATAAAATAAAATAAAGTTAAAGTATGTTAAAATAAAAATTAATTTAGAATTTTATCATTTATTATTATTTTAAAAAAATAATTTTAATTATTTATTTTTATTTAATTCATTTTTTAAATTTTATTTATTCTTTTTAAAAAAAATTTGATTAAAATTAATTTTTAAAGAATGAGTCAATCACATTCTCATTTACAAACAATAATAATTGATCGGGAAAAAAAAGTAATTATAACAAGAACCTAAAAAGAAGTAAGTTTACCTAAACTATTAAATGTTTTTAATATAAAATGATATAAAAAAAAATTAAAAGGTAAAACAAATATTTATTCAAAAAGAAATATAAAATGTAAATGGTCCTATTTCTTTCTTTCGGCTCAGAAAGAAAATAAACTAACGAGGGTTATATTGAAATTTAACTCTTCTGTATTTGTTTATTTAAGGCTAAAACTAAAACATGTGTAAAAATTTATTTTATTATTATAAGTTTATGCTAACAAGTCAATACAGTTAACGTTAAATTGAATTAATTTCTTCGGTAATATTTTAAATTTAGAAGATATTATTATGCACGTTTTTTTTTCGATTTGGAATTTATACTTGATAATAAAAGAGTGTAATAAAATGTTGATTTAGATTATCGATATCGAAACCATTAGTTATATAATTTAGTATACAATGCGATGAAATCGTGTGTGGGTGAATTGTTTTAAAGGTCATTGAAATTTTTTTGTTATAAAATAAATATTGAAAATATTAAGATTAGACATGTAGGAGTGTAATACTTGAACCGTAGTCGTGCATTATTCAAGATTTTTGTAAAAGATAGGAAGAATAATTTTATTGCAGGAATAGGTCCAACTTTTTATTCTTTATAACATGATTTGTACTCATATTATTGGGGGGGGGGGGATATTTTATTATCTTTAAAATAATATTTATGATAATTAATAAAGACAGGGGGGGGTCAGCTTTCCAGCACTTTGTGAAAAGGAGTGAAAAACAAAAAGAATATTGGCAATGTTTTATAGTTGGTTCAATAATATCAAATGGAAAGAATAATAATTTTTACAGTTGGAATCCATGGCAAGGAATCAACCATTTAATTACACAATCAATGTGGTCGTGCACTTAATTTGAATGTGTTTTTTTTGTTAATTCATTTTTCACTTAAAGAAATTTGATGACATTGTGCAGAAAATTAATACTTATAAGTTTATTTAGCTTTTACCAGAACTAAGAAATATTTTTTAATCGTTTTTTTATTTTATTAATGCTTAGGTTTAAAGTACAACATCTTTGGAAAACCTTCACAAACATTCATCAAATTATAAAATATAATATACCCCTGACATCCTCAACTAGTGATCTGCATCGGGCCTAATTTTTAAAACCCGCCCCGATCCGAAATTTTTTTTTAAAAATTTGCTGCCCCGGTTCGAACCCGAATATTTTTAAAAAAATTTACCGGCCTGAATTTATTTAAATATAGAAATTAATATTTATAATTAATTAAAATAAAAGACATATGTTATATGACATCAAGTTTCTATAAATAAAATCAAATATTTTTATTTTACATAAAAAATTCAATATTAAATTAATAAGTTTTGTTATATTTAAAAATATTTCCAAGGCCCGACAGACCCGGCCCGAATTTTTCAAAAAAATATTAGGCCGGACCCGAACCCGATTTTTTTAAAAAAAATTAGGACCGAGCCGGGTACGGGCCGGGTCTACTTTTGCAGATCTCTATCCTCAACACCTATTGAATTGGTGTTCAGTACAGAAAAAGAAATACAAAATTTGTTTATCAGACCACAAACTATAATGAATAATCATACTCATAAATATTATAAAAACAATAATCAGAAAAAAAAAATCATTTCTTTAAATTTTGGGATTTGGGTAATAAAGATTATATAGAATGATGATAGGGCAGGCGCGTAAGCAGCGGGAAAAATTATGCTTATTTTATATAATATGTTAAAGTTAAATCACAAGCAGTCAATTCGCCACTTATTCAAATCCTGGATGATTATTGTTTTTATAAAAAAATCTCAATAAATCTTTCTAATATTGCAGGAAATTTTTCAAGATAATTTTATATAATTTGACTGATGTTGTTAAAAGAAAATTTTAATAAATATATCTACCAACTAAAATTTTAGAACATATAGTAATTAAAGCCAACAGTTGCAATAACGTCAACATGATAACACACTAGTAGTATAGTACTTGTAATATTATAACATATCCTAAGGAAATCATGAAATATCTAAATTTTATTATTTTTAAAAGTGGAATACAAGCTTTATCATTTTTAAAAGTGGAATACATGAATATGGAGCTTAGAATTAGTAATATTTATGAAATCTATTACAGTAAAATATAAATTTTGAAATAAATTAATCATACAAGGTGTAATTATTTAAAAAAAGAACAAATATATTATATTTTTAACAAAAACGAATAAAAAATTTAAAAGGAGATTTAAGTAAATGATTTGGGCCAATAGTTTTTAAACATTAAATAAATGGACCGAATTATTGTTAATCTAATTTTGTACCACGCTGCCCCTCCATAGGTTAACTTAAAAAATTTTAATCCTTCCTGTACTCGAACCCAGATTTGTGTGATAGGTGATGCCAGCAATCATCGACTATAGCACAGACTCAGACCAAAAGTACCAAAATTATATTATAACCTTTTGTGGTAGTGGCAAACAAAAATTTTTTAGAATACAGGTTTGTTAAGTGATATTTTTGGCACCGTCAAATATAACCACGTGCAAGTTTTATCAGATTGAAAACTTACCATAAATTTTCATATATATTTTTTTTAAAAATAACAATCGAAAAAACGAGTTAATATAAAATTACCTAAAAAGTATTATTTTGAACTTGTAAATATCATTTTTTAGACTTCTAAAAATATCAAGTCAATCTTGCTGATCATTATAATTATCATATGTAAATAAACAAATTAAGAAAAACGGTAAATTATTCAATCGTTGATTTAGGAAATCATTATTTTGAATAGATACTTTCAAATAGTTAACGAGATTTTTGGAAGATTCAAAAAAAAAATATCGATTCTGAGACTCTCAATGGCTGAGGCCAAGTGTTCCTTTTTTAAAAACATTAAAATGTTTTAATTTTAAAAAAGAGGCACAAATTATAAATATTAAAAAAATATACATCTAAAAACATCGGTAATAGGAAAAAAAACCCCTGGAAAAAAAACCCCGGAAAAAAAAACCCCCGGAAAATAAACCCCCCGGAAAATAAACCCCCAGGAAAAAAAACCCCCGGAAAATAAACCCCCAGGAAAAAAAAACCCCTGGAAATAAAACCCCCGGAAAAAAATTCCCCAATAATTTTTTTCCATTTTTATAGAATTTACTTAAGACCGGTCTACTCTTCATAAAAAAATTCTTAAATAAGAAAAACTGATGTTTAAATTGGTACTGGGAAAAAATGCCTCAGTAAAATAACTATGTATTGTAAAAAAAAAATTCTATAGTAAAAATACAATACCATCTTTAAATATGATATTAAATAGACTAAATTTGACAAAACTTAGAAATAAGAAATGTTTAATTTATTGGTAAACCATGATTATGTATATATAATTTTATAATTTATAATAATAATTATATTGGTTGACATCGAATATTGAAGGATATCGCTCTTATAAAATCCGGAAGGCTTCGCACCCCATCACGGTATTCTTCGCAAAGTTTCTTTAGCCGAATCTGGTTGTTAGAACTCTGCGATTTTGTTTTAGATGTCCAACTACCTACGCGCCATCTTTCAAGTTTGGTTTCGTCGGCAGCCACCTCGCATTTCATTTTTTTAATGAGTACCCAGATTGATGGGTGTTTATTACCAACCAGATTAGAAAAACGATGATTCCAACCTTCGCATTGATTATTTGTTCGTTCTTCATCTGAGAGAGTACTCTGATTCACGTTCCAGGTTTCTGGAGGAAATCGAGGCTCAATTCGACGTGTTTGGGATTGAGAATTGCTTCTCATGACATTCCTTGATACTCCATTGACATAATTTTTATCGAAATAATCGAGAATGTCCTTACCATTGCTCGGAGTAACTGATCTAAGGAATGTCATTGCATTATCCATATCACATAACGGAACGAATGCTAAGCCGTCCATCATGCCACAAAAAAACTTAGAGTTTCATCCGTCCTATATTCGCTTTCCAGACCCAGCTAATGGATCTTATTCATCCTGGAAAGCTCATATTTGAAGGTTATTCTTATACCATACATAAAAAATGCTCAAACAAGATTAGATGGCGCTGCTCAAAGTATTCTTCTTTTAAATGCCGAGCAATACTTTTTTCAACACTCGATAATCAAGACCCGGTTCTTGATACAGCTCATAATCATCCATCAAATATTGATGGACTAGTAGCAATGAAATCCATTGCTAACATGAAGAAGCGATGTGCAGACTCTTTGGCAAAACCTCTTCAAATTTATGCAGAGGAAATTGTAAAATTAGACCAAAAAGTTCAGTCGCATATGTTATCGGAAGATTCTATAAAAAGAACTCTAAGGAATCACAAAGCAATGCAACACCCTTCAAATCTTGAGAATTTGGAAGACCTAGTTATTGAAGGTATTGCTTTAAATATAATTATATTTTCATAAAAATTTAAATATTATAGGTGATTGGGCAAATTGTGGCTCCCAGAACTCAAAACGATTTTTATTATTTGATAATGGCCCACAAGCTGAAGAACGCATAATAATGTTCGCAACAGATGATTCCTTGAATCTAATATCTAATAGGACAGAGTGGTATATGGATGGTAATTTTGCCATGTCCCCAAAAAATTTTCTACAATTATATGTGATTAGAGTAGCAATAAACAATATTTTTATTACAGCGGTTTATTGTGTACTCCAGAAAAAAACTCAAAGTACATATGAAATAATATTTCAAACAATAATGTCTAAATGTCAGGAAAGGGATTTATTTCCTGATCCATTATATATATACATGGATTTCGAAAAGTCTGCTATGACCGCGGTTAAGAGTATCATTGGTATGATTATTAATATGTTTAATAATTTATATTTATTTTTTCAATTAGGGGATCACATCGTAATTAGAGGATGTTTTTACCATTTGTGTCAAAGTACACATAGAAAAATTCAGAAGCTGGGTCTGGAAAGCGAATATAGGACGGATGAAACTCTAAGTTTTTTTTGTGGCATGATGGACGGCTTAGCATTCGTTCCGTTATGTGATATGGATAATGCAATGACATTCCTTAGATCAGTTACTCCGAGCAATGGTAAGGACATTCTCGATTATTTCGATAAAAATTATGTCAATGGAGTATCAAGGAATGTCATGAGAAGCAATTCTCAATCCCAAACACGTCGAATTGAGCCTCGATTTCCTCCAGAAACCTGGAACGTGAATCAGAGTACTCTCTCAGATGAAGAACGAACAAATAATCAATGCGAAGGTTGGAATCATCGTTTTTCTAATCTGGTTGGTAATAAACACCCATCAATCTGGGTACTCATTAAAAAAATGAAATGCGAGGTGGCTGCCGACGAAACCAAACTTGAAAGATGGCGCGTAGGTAGTTGGACATCTAAAACAAAATCGCAGAGTTCTAACAACCAGATTCGGCTAAAGAAACTTTGCGAAGAATACCGTGATGGGGTGCGAAGCCTTCCGGATTTTATAAGAGCGATATCCTTCAATATTCGATGTCAACCAATATAATTATTATTATAAATTATAAAATTATATATACATAATCATGGTTTACCAATAAATTAAACATTTCTTATTTCTAAGTTTTGTCAAATTTAGTCTATTTAATATCATATTTAAAGATGGTATTGTATTTTTACTATAGAATTTTTTTTTTACAATACATAGTTATTTTACTGAGGCATTTTTTCCCAGTACCAATTTAAACATCAGTTTTTCTTATTTAAGAATTTTTTTATGAAGAGTAGACCGGTCTTAAGTAAATTCTATAAAAATGAAAAAAAATTATTGGGGAATTTTTTTCCGGGGGTTTTTTTTCCTGGGGATTTATTTTCCGGGGGTTTTTTTTCCTGGGGGTTTATTTTCCAGGGGTTTTTTTTCCTGGGGGTTTATTTTCCAGGGGTTTTTTTTCCTGGGGGTTTATTTTCCGGGGGTTTTTTTTCCTGGGGGTTTATTTTCCGGGGGGTTTATTTTCCGGGGGTTTATTTTCCGGGGGTTTTTTTTCCGGGGTTTTTTTTTCCAGGGGTTTTTTTTCCGGGATTCAAAAACATCATATCTGTAAAAATTTTATAAATTTCAATATCAAAAATTTATCTTATTATAATTTTTTAATATTGAATTTGAAAATAAAGATTATAAACTAACATATTATAAATAAATCACGAAAAAAATATTTTAAATAATATTTTGTAGATAAAGAAAATTTAAAAAAAACGATTAAAACAACAAAAAGTTAGATAAGTTTAATAGCATTATCGAAATGGGAATTTTATATTTAATCATTAATCCATATATTTTTATAAAAAAAATCTATACATTTGCATCAAATAAACATTTTTGGATTAAGGCCAAAATTACTTCACTAGGATCAAGACTGACCTTGATTTTTTAAATTAACAGAATTCCGGATCTTAAAAAAAAAATTATAACGAATAATTTGATTAAGGGTTTTAACTCGTTTTTTATCTAAATATATAATTTTTTTACTATATTTCAATATTAAAAAAAATTATTCGCTTTAAGGATAACTATGGCCAACCTCTATCTGAGAAGGAAGCTTTCTCGTGGATCGTAAGCTTGCAGATGTGAGATCCTAAATCCTTGAAGAAGGATAGTGCAAGCTTACCAAAGGAAGAAAAGGTTGTAGATTTTATTGGAATAAGGATATGATTTTCTGTACCGAATATTTAATTTTAAGTTTTATTTTTGTTCGAGTACTTATGGAGTTTGATTGGATGGCTAATGGATCTGTACAAGAATAGTTCCTAACGAAAAATTGGCCCCATTTTTCATGGGATCAGGGTGACTCCGTCATGCCGTTTTCCATCGGATCTGAAAAGTCCTGTGGGTTCAAATATCACAGGTATTTGATCGGATTTTAAAGCTCATTGGATCAATAAATTGCATTGATTATTTCTGAGTTCCTTTGCTGTCTATAGGAGCTCTCCAGCTAGAGAAGATGCGCGAGTAAAGGTTATCGTACAATTAAAGCGGAAAGCCTAGTTTTTAATATTGGACATTAGCACGAAATATAATTGTTCAGTTTAAATTACGAAATATAAGAATGGTAAATGATACAGCTATGTTCTCCGTTGAGCAATGAACATCACATCGTTCAACCACCATCGTGATTGATATAAATTAATAGACCATCCCCTGCAAATAGGGGGATAAGATTGGGGCCGACAAATTTTTTACTATTGCAAATTATTTATATATTTTTACTATATAAATTTGAATCGATATATAACTTAATTCATATTATAGCTTATTCAAATCGCATTTTTAAAACGATGAAACCTAATTTGTTGTTATTTTATGATATTTTTTTTAAAAAAATAGGGACTGAGGGTATGTATTTAAAGGGCCGACGAATTGATATTTTTTGCATCCCGTTGCTTAAAAAGTCTTAATATGCTGTTAATCCTATACTTGATCATGTTAACTAAATGACGTGCTTAATGAAAATGATTCACTTATAGAAATTAATTCTGACCATATTATAGAATAAAATTATTATCTGGTCAATATTTTAAGAAAAGTAAACTATTTTTTGTAGATCGGGATCGGAATAAATGTAATCCTTTTAATAATTAATCAAAAATGAATTTTTTATATGCAAAAATTTGACAATAAACTAAAAATAAATCAATATTTGAAATTTTTTTTTATTTTAAAGTCCCATTCCCATGGCATGTTCATAAATAATTTAAAACATTTATGTCTTCGAGTTTTTTAGGGCCTTTTTTTGTATATATCATATCAACTAATAAATTAATTTATGATTATACTAGATTTAAAAAATGTATAAATCATTATAATAATTACTTGATAAAAAAATTAATACTTTGGTTGATATTATTAATAAATAAAATACGATGTCGTTTAACTATTTTGATAGTTATGTTATGGGGATATAATATTACATAATAAAACCATATAAAAACATTTTTTTAGTTAGGAATGAATCAAGCGCGTAGCCGGGAGGGGGGGGTGTTAGAAATCCCCTCTCGTAGCCAACATATAAAAGGGCTTAGGCGCGTATCCTGTGGAAGGAGGTGGGAGAGAAATAATCATCTAGCAAGAATTTTTGGGAAAATATAAAAGAGCTTCATGAATTTTGAATTGCAAAGTGTTTTATTTAAAATAGGTTATATGAACAAAAAGTTAAAATTATTCTTGTATATTAATATTTTATCTCACCAAAATTTAAAGTTTATTTTCTAACATTTTTTAAACCTTAAACACTATAGATATATAAGGAAATTTTATCAACCAAAAAAATTCTATTAATTTATTTCTACTTATAACTATGATTATAAAGTTTCTAGGGTGTATGAAATGTTCAGATATCCAAATAGACAGAATATGCTGAATATAATTATTTCTGAGACTTCTTATGCTACAAGAAAAAAGAAACTGGAAAAAGCCTGCACGACAAGATGGAGCCTTCGATATCAAGCGGTTACATCATTTTTTGGATCTAGAAGAGCCTATTTTGTATGCCCTTGGATAAATATCAGAATCACTGAAACAAATATTTCACCTGAAGCTGATGCATTATTAGATTTAATATGACTGCTGATTTATTTCACTGGAATCTGGCGCATAGCCAGGAATTTTTATCGGATGGGGGGGGGGGGATTTTTTCTATATTAAAATAAAATTTTTTGGAGCATCAAAAATTTTTATTAAAATTAATCATCATATGGAATTTATTATAACCAACCCTATTTTAAAGAATAACGAAACATAAAAACATATTGGAAAAATAAAATAGTGTTTAAAAAAAATTTATAGCTAAATTTAAATAAAGGTATGTAAATAAACAATAAATATTGGATTAAAATATGATTATTTAAAATGCTAATAAAATATGGTTCACATCACAAGTGAAAATTTAATCCTCTTTGTGATTTTGCCAATTTTTGAATAATTTGTTCTGTTCATGAGATTAAATCTCGATGAAAATTAAGTAAGGCTAAACCTATTTTCTGATGTGTTACTCCTTAGGTTTTTATTCACCTTAATAACAAAAAGGTTCGTTCATTTGTGCTTGTGCTTATTGATAATGTTGCCAAAATATATAGTTATTTTGATATATTTTAAAAAAAACTCCAAAATATATTTTAAACTATCCAATGCTTCCATTTCGTTTCTCTGAATATTATCTATTAGAATTAATCTTTCGTACCAAGATTTAAATTCAAAAACCAGTTTGCCTTCAGACACATTAATGTCCCCTGAATAAAATTAAGCAAAGTATTTAATTTTTTGAGATTAAAAACTGTTATTTTATAATAGCCCTCAATTGATTCCACATTTATATTGGAACTATTCGTTGTCTTGGTGCAAGCCGAGGTTTGCGGATCTCAAATTCATATTTGACTTTCTCCTCAACACTCATAAAAATTTCATGAAATTTATGATCAATATTATTTCTTAATTTTTGAAGTTGGATTATAATTATATTGGCGAACATAGTATCCGCCAAATCTATATTATTCTTTTGAAAATATTGCACAAAATTGCTGTGCAATTAAATAACTTATTAATACACTCCAATGCAAAAAAGAAAATTGGTTGTCTTACTGAATCGAATAAAGTATCTGCTTCAGATAAAATATTTGGTTCAGACCATTGGTATTTCTCCAAGAGCACTTAAATAGCTCTTCTAGATTCAAAAATGAAGTAACCGCTTGATGTCGTAGACTTTATCTGGTTGGTCACCCCTTTTCAGGTTCTTTCTTCTTGTAGCACAAGAAGTCTCAGAAATAATTATATTAAGAAAATTTTGGTTTTTTGGATACTGAATATTTCGTACACTCTATAAATTTTGTCTAATATTACACAACAATTTGATGCAATATATTTCAAAAAATGGATTTGGCTGAAGTTATGAGAATCGCGAATATTATTAAATTATAACTTAGAAGAAGATAGTATCGACCAGGAATTTCTCGAGATTTATGTGATTGTTGAGATGAAAGCAAAATTATATAAATTTGAGATTCAAAGGCCTCGACTCTACCCACAAACAAATCGTTCCAATATCAACGTGGAGTCGATTGAAGATCATTTTAAAATAACCGTTTATATTCCACTTTTAGATTTAATTTTGACTCAAATCAATAAACGTGATTTATCAAATGGCCCTATCCAATTTACAAATACTATATCTCATCACTCCCTCTGATCAAGAGATATATCAAATACTGATATTGAAAAATTAAATATATAGCAAAATTTTAATAGGATACAAATGTATCTGAAGGCCAATTATTATCAAAATTATGGTATGAAAGATTCATTTTTGTAGATAATCCTCCAAGAAATACAGTAGAAGGAAGCATTGCATACTTTAAAATATATTTTATAAGTTTTCCAAATATATTAAAATTACTGTGTATTTTGGCAATACCAAATTCGTAAAAGCACAAATGAGAGGACCTTTTCTTCATTACAGAGAAATATCAAAAGTATGACATCTTAAAATTGAAATTTATTCATCATGATCTAATCCCCAACACAAAATAAATTATTAAAAAATTGGCGCAATCGCAAAGAAGATTTAATTTTCATT